CAAAAACCCGTTATGTTGGGGTGCGCTCGATATATTGTATATCGGCACCGACACCGACTTTGCCTCACTACGTGATGCGGAAGGTTGTTCCGTACATTCACCACTCTCCGTTCGAAACAAAGTTGCTGGGAGACCCGCTTCAAATCCGGTACGACAAGCTTGTACTGGTGTCCTCATGTGCTGCTTGGCGTGTGCAGACGAAGCAGCGGCCACAACATGGGGTAATCACCCAGATGTAATATCCGGTGAGTCATGATGAGGTCAACCCGCAGTCGACGATAAGCTAGGATGTAAAGCCCTCGTCTCTTACACCACTCTTCGTACGTCACACCTCGTAAACTGGGAATCAGCCTGGTGGCCACCTGCTGCACTCGCTCACTCCTTTCCATCTCGCGAGAGAACCGTACTCCATAATTGGTCGTATTAATGAGACAAAGAGACCAGTGGCAATCTCTTCAGACCAAGTGTTGAAACTGCGCCTAAGCACTTAAAGCATACGAAGGCTTTTTTGGTAAATCCTATTCGTGTTGTCCATGGACTTTAGGTCGCAGCGTGAGTAAACCGAGGTCTCGCACGAAAAGCATGGGATGCAACGCTTGACCGGCCGCCGTGTAGGTTTGACTGTGCTCACACATACCCAGCCTCATGAATTGCAACTTGACCGGGTTTATCGGAAGATGGACCTTTGCAGACCACATGGAAAGGTGTATGAGGTCCCGCTGAAGCAGGTCACAGTCATTGGGCGCGTGGATTACTCTCCACATCTTCAAGTCATCTGAAAATAAGACACATCGCGAACGAAAAAGCTGAGTCACATCGTTTACATGGATGGGAAACAAAATCGGCCCTAGTACAGTGCCTTGGGGTACGCCACTGCTCGATGGATACCAGTCGGTCAGATGGCTGTCGACCAGGACCCTCCACTTTCGACCAACAACGATACTCCTGATCCATCGGTGCAGCGAGCCGCCAACACCGGACAAACTCAGCCTGTCGAGGAGCACCTCATTATACAACTTGTCAAAAGCCTTACTGAAATCAAGGTAGATGACGTCGACCGACTTGCTTTGGTTTAGTGCTTACAACCATTCGTGCCTCAACAGCAGGTTGGTGATGCACGAGCAACCTTTCATGAAACCATGCTGTGCAGGCGCCAAGATGCTTTTCGGCTCGTGAAACTGTAGAAGGATTTTCTTCACGATCTCCTCAAGCATCTTTGCGAAAACAGCAGATCGGCCGGTAGTTATGCACCTTACTTGGGTCCCCACCTTTCAGTATTGGCTTTACGACTGAGCATTTCCAGGCGCTAATGCCTGGCCAGGAACCGAAAGACGCCAAGTAAAATTTAGACGCTTACATCAGTTTGCGGGAGTAGCTAGTACAGTTAGGGATAATGGCAAAGTGTCGCAGCCACTCATTATCACCACTAGTGTGAGACTTCGAAATTGACTAGGTCAAGAAAAATACATTTATCGGACATGACTAAGAAGGCGTGGAGTTGTTCCCAGACTATCGAGATCTTGACTTGGCCTACGCCGACAATGTTACCCTCATGTGTGACAGTCTACAGACATTGGAAGTCGACCCGTAGCTTAGAGGTAACGGGCTTGTCTCGTTATATTGGGGCGCCAGTTCGAATCCGCGTAGAGGTGGGTGTCGTCGCGGTATACTCAGCCCGCATGCGACTGGTGGTGGTCACACGGCAGCGAAGCGCCGTTACGGCGTACAGCTGACACATTATTATTATTATTATCATTATTATTATTACTATTATTTACAGATATTGGAAACAGTGCGGATCAAATTAGCACTGACTGCCAATCATTTTGGGCAATGCCCTGCACCTTATACATGTAAGTATTTAAACCAAGATTGACAGCGTTCAATGTCTAAACTGACCCTTGCTTGGGATAAGCGAAAAGTCATCGAAAGAGACTACCTGTGCAGTCATGTCAGCGCAAGCGGAATTCAAGATAAGGATAGGAACCGAACAGCAACTGTCCGAAGTAATTCTGCTCAAATACGTAATTTATGGCGCCGGCGCGACATTATTATTGTTCCGGGTCTACAGTGCTACTGTTCATTCAACCTGCCTGTATGGTTGTGTAATCTGATCCACCAGATCGACGAACGTAAAGAGGCAAGTTACCTTCGACCACCGGTGCCTTCGCAGCTTAGCTCATGTCTGGTGGGATCAACGCGTGAGCAATGAGCGGGTTCGGCGTCGTATACTTGGTACAGGAAGATCGAGTGGAGTGTTCAGTACCGTTTTTCACGCACCAGGCTCTGATGGCTTGGCCATGTGTTACGCATGCCAGCCCGACGACTCCGCGACATGTGTCGTTTGCGAGACTGGAGTGTAGACGGTAGAATAGGAGGGGAGGTCAGGCGATGAATTGGTGAAGAGGAATGAAGGCCCTCAGTTCCACGTTGGCGGTGGTTGGAGCTTCTCGCCTCTCCGGTTGGGGTCCGAAAGACGATGAGAACGTTTACTTAGACGAGTCCAAAGCAGAACGAAACCGCTCATGGTGTGTCAGTGTTGAGAGGAGCAAGATTGAAACACCTAGGATAACTTAGATACCCTTCCCGATGTGGTGAAGAGGCGACCGACCTCAGTGACGCTTGTGTCGTGAACTTCTTTGTCCATCCCGTTCTCCTTCGCCTCACAATCGAACCACGATTTCACTAATGATACATGATAAAAAAGAGCCTAATTGATTTGGTTTGCTTTATTCCCTTTATTTTGTTAACTTGTAACATTGCGGCGCAGCAGTGTTATTGTGATGGCATTAGTGCAAGGGCAGAAATCAGATAAATAGGTACTCCGGCGCAAAATGTCGGGTGCTAGAACTGGGATGGCTTGTATCCCCACAAAACCGTGTCCATGTCGTATTCCTAATGTATTGCCGCCAGGACTTAAGGCGAAGAGCTTTGGTTGATGATCGTAATCACTCACCTTATAGAGTTAGGCTGCAATGCCGTGTCCCAGACTATGCACAGACATAAGTTTATCACTAAACCAACCCATAAGATAGCGAGCTGAAAGGAAGATCGCCAGTAGGAACAGACACAAAGGTCAATAGTATGACTACAAAGTAAGAGGGTGAGAATCTGTTTACGCCCAAATACAATCCGGGCAAGGTTGATAATAAATAACTTGCTTTTATACCTCTGTGTCTACGGTCAAAGTAAGTAACCTAGATTTACAGTTAGTAAAACAAAGGAGACCTGTTTCACAATGAATGAAAACATCTGGATAGCAATTTGATCCACGGTCGTCGAAGAAAAATGCGTTAGTTTAGTTGAAGGTATGACCCAGCAACTGTCATTCTCTACAATTTTTGAAGGAATGTGTCATGCACTTCCCCTCAAACAAGCGGAACCACGTAGAACGATGGAATGTACAGTTATCGTGGAAAGGAAATCGAACACAAAAGGAGTGATTCGCGGCTTTCTGATAGTGAACACTGGCGTCAGTCAACCGGTCCAGTCCTGTAATAGCTCTTCGCACTAGAAAGCTACAAGACAGATCCCAAGGTGTGCAATGTTAGTAAACAACTGCTCGAAGTGGCCGATCGGGCCACTTTCATGTTGATTACTGTATCAGTCATAGTGATTATGTCACCGGGTAGACTTTTCAAAGCGTCCATCGGTTAAGGAAACGGCGGGATGTAAACAAATTTGCTAAGGAAACGGTTTACAACATTGTGCTATGCCCGCTGTCCTCATATGAATCACACAGCCGACGCGGTGAGCACAAAGGACTTTATTCGAGTGATCATGTACGACCACTAATGCCTGCGGAGTATTATTCAAATTGGTTGGTAAAACTGTGTGAGCAATGTGGAAGTTGGTCATCCGATATTTGGTAACATGCCCTAAGGCACCTCACCAGAGCACAACTTGAACTCGGATCAACATATATGCCTCGGTTGTGTGCCCCGTAAAACCTGAAAGCTGATCACATCGGTGTGCCTTGTTTATCAATACCGCGTACGGTTAGCGTGTGAAGCCTCGAAGTGACATGACAAAAAATGATGAGCAAACTCGCCGCAAGGGGTACTTGGAGCAGGCACATCAATTGGTGGACACGTCACAGGATATGACGTGGTCATCTAACGAATAGTGAATCCGCATTTGGGACCCTCAACTATTCCATTTGACTAACCTAATTCTTGTTCATCGCTGCTGAATTATTACTATCAGTACAATTGTTGTCTTGATGCCGCGTGTCAAGGTCACTGGGCCAATGGGTCACATACACCGCGTATCGGTCGATCGGGAAGTTGTCACCGGAAGAAGCAACTCCAAAAGGGAATTTCAGGCAGTAAGTCAAAAACAAGAGTTATGTGAAAAATACAGAAGGTTTGCCATGCGGACTACTTTAGTGTCTTGGGATTGACCGGAGAAGTGTCGGAAACACAAATCTGGACAAATACGAGCTTCAGGTTGAAAGACTATCAGAGCATGAGTGGCTGGTAATTCACAACCTAACAGACTTGGAGCGAGTGTCTGTAGCGATAATCAGTGAAATGAGATGAATGGTAAAAACCTGTCGATGTGTGCGTACAAATGTATTCGAGGTCACCATTAAGTAGAGTGTGATTGACTAGGAGAATGCTTTGGCGAAGGACAGTAAACAAAATATGATGTAGCGAGCAGAAAAACCAAGATCAGAGAAACTGCTTCAAAAAATACTGATATTAAGAGCCATATGTCGCCCACTGTGAGGAACGAACCGAGGGATAAAATGCTGATACGAAGGGTATCATTTTGAAAATTATGCAAAACCCACGAGTGCCTGCTATGTGTCTGGGCTATAATAGGAAATCTAGATTTACAACGTAACGTATGTTGAAGAGGAGCAACGTTGAAGGGGGGGGGGGAAGAACACCCAAAACCCATGGAAGTATGCGGTGGAATAATGGTGGTAATAACCATTTTAAAGGTAACACATTGTTGGGACCTTATACAGATAAATAATCCTAAGTGCAATATCTTCATAGCGACGATGGAGTAGAAAAATAAGACAATGCACTGTAATGGCGGAGTTGGATCAGTGATACCTTGTAATAAGCGTCCTGTTCGTCTTCTGGTCCCGATAACAGGTACTCAAGCTGCAACGGAAACAGAAGATTTATAAATCGAAATAAACGATCAAAGAAGATTTGTTTATGCAAAACGGAGGGAGCAAACAAATAGACCGTGACATGCAACGGTGGGAGGTAGCTAGGCAAGTAGCAGGTTCATAACACTGTTCGAAAACAGCAAGTACTTTCACACACGTAATTCACGAGCAACACAGCAGAAGTTGAGAATCGAGTCAAATGAGTAACGGACGGGTTGAGAGGTCGGCTAGAGTGTATCTGTTACAAAGCTAATTGTGACATCATGTTTGCCGATTAGTTTTGAGGTGAAAATTGGTTGAAGATCTAGTGGTTATGTGAAACTTCAAATGGAAAGTTGCTGAATGGAAGTAACGCCAGTAAATACCAATTAAGATACAAAATGAGAACAGTTGCCCGGATCCAGCATAAAAGGGAAAAGCTGTCGTGAACCACATAGACATTTACGCCGCGGCCACTTTAGGCGCTGCCCCGTGCTCGAAGCTGCCTAGTGTAGTGCGACTGTTAATGATGAGGTGATTATTACTGAAACGCACTGTCTGCACGCACTGGTCTGTACGTTTGGTTCGCAACCATAAGGTCACCGGTTCGAATCCGCGTAGGAGTGGGTGTCCTCGCGGTATACTCCGTCCGCGCGCGAATGGTGGTGGTCGCGCGGCAGCGAAACGCCGTTACGGCGTACAGCTGACGCATTATTATTCTTTTTATTAGGCCAGCTGAGCGAGCGACACATCCGATTGGTGTAAACGAGGTTACCGCGTCGGATCGAAACTCCTCTAGGTGGACAGTCCGTATTCGATGTGCGCAAGAGAAAGAGCCCATTGTGTGAAAATGCCCATCCTAATTGAGTCGGAGAAGCAGTGATTCAATCGAAACAAAACAGGGAAATAAGCAAAATTGTTTGTAGTAACCAGGTTTTACAGCGAATAATCGTGATTACCCAAAGTGTATGTGGGTGTACTTTGTTGAAGTACCAAAAGGATGAGTTGCAAAGGACGAAATTGGTTCTATTGACGACATCATAGGATCAATGGTACCGCGTGAATCATGATGCCCCAGGGCTGGAAAAGCTAAGTGAAGGTGAAGGCACTGGCGTCATGGAAGATGTAACCGATGTAATTACGACGTCATCGGCAGCACACCTGCACATCGTAAGGGCGCGTCGCTGCCACGCGGGTTGGGGACATTGCGAGGTCCGTCACACTAGTGTAGACTCGAGTCGGCCAGAGGGCGGTGACAGCGTGTAAGCCAACGGTAGCTCAAATAATTCTAACAATTACGAAGGTGAGTTGTTGTCCGGTGTTAAGAAAATGAAGTTCACTGCTATGTTGGCGACTGACTGAGAAAGATGACCTAGGTAAAGAAATCGGCAAAGTTCGGAAGTACATCCCGCACCAAGACCAATAAGAGTTCATTAACGAAGCAAGGTCGAGTGCCAGCCACGCAGCAAGTACCGCGTATGAGTAGGATCCCCAGTCCAGAACAAGAGTGAGGAGTGGCGGTCTCCACGGTTGCTGGCAACCGGTGGTCCGCCGCATGACAATATAAGCAATGAACAAGTTAAATGAAAGAGAGCGCATATGTCCAGAAAGAGTTACCCATATGATATATTGATCAAGAGAGAAAAGCTATGTCACCGAGCGAGAAATGAAATGGAATGGGCAAAAGGAAGATAAAAGTGGGTGGTCCCATGGAACAGGGTACGCAGGAATGACCAGTGACGACTGTCTAGGGACCCTGACGAGTCTAAAAAGGAAAGACCGGATGGGAGGAGGGCAGTAAACAAGGTGATACAGAATACCAACTGCCAACTCACTCCAGCAGCTCCCGGTTCACGATAACCATCCTCACTACAGTCCGACTGGGCCCCTTGAACATGTCGCGTAGCAGTTTCAGCGAGCCACCCGGAATTGACCGAACCGGATACAGTATGGAACGGGTTAGGACAAGACGGAGTTGATAAAGGTTTCATTCTGCGTGAACCCCAGCCGGGCTGAGTTCCATGCGGAGGTCCTGAAATAGTCGAAGGATAGTCTACGGAAAAAAGTAAAGGGAATTGTGAGGATTGGTAGAATATGTATAACTGGGAAAAGCACGGTGATCACTCTACGACTCAGTTTTAAGAACTGGCTATATTAACTTGGCATGCACTTGAAGATGCAAAAATAGCAAGTTAGGTGTTCACCGAAATAGGTGTGTTAGGGTATATCAATAAAACCAAATAAGCTCTTGTATTGTCTAACAGAAGTAGGGTGGCGCAAGGCGCGAGGTGGACAAAAGTGCACTTCGCAGCGGGAATTGTAGTCACTGACAATCCAACTCGGTGCCATCGGTCCGTCACGCTTTCCAGGCTGGAGTCCACATGAGTCCCCTTGTGACTGACTCGAGACTTGACAAGACATGGCTCGCAATCGACACCAGTGGCGTGTCTGCTGCCGTCTCCTAGTCGGAATGCATGTTTAAAAGGTGTTAGGTACTATTATCTGTGGGGTAATGGGTAACTATGACGCGGGATAGTGAAAAGCACAGTGACAGTCAAAAAGCAACATCCAATGAAGCACCACACCACATGACAGCCAAATAATAACCACAAAGCGGAGCACAAAGTCAAGATGAGTGCTACAATGTGAAGAGGGGAGCAAAGCGAATCACATGATAATCACGCTTAACAGCATGATGCGGTGAGCCAGACAAACAAGAAACACGAACTAAAAGGAGAGCGCAGCGGATTAGTTACAATTCCAGTGGGCCGACGTGTCGCAGCTATAAAACATATACATAGGGATCAGATGATGCATAAATTGCAAGTGATTAAGATGTGAGGACGCAATGGTAGGACTTAAAATATTATCGGGGGTCAGATCAAAGCACTGCTTCATGGTAGGTGGCATGATGCGATGGCTCCGATTAGAAATGTATGAAATATGGAGCCAATCGGCCTCAGTGGACCGGATCAATCCGACAGGCACAACATGGTAGGAGCATGTTAAATCCAATTCGACGCAAATCCACACCCTTTCAATGCATGCAAACCAAATGGAAATGAGCAGGTATAACATCTGTCGCCTGATTTGCCTGAAGACAATAATTATCAGCTAAACTACCCACTAGTAAGAACTAAAAATGCTACCGTAGGAATGATGAAACGCTTGCAACCGAATCGCTCAGCTCACCGAGCATGTCAATACATCAAATAAGTTTTGTTAGTTTGCAGACTGAGGGAGCGCATGGGAAGACCAAGAGTAAGTGTGCGGACGAGGATGGTGGAACTGGCGAAATAAAAAAACATAACGGTCAGACGCGGCGACAAAGCATTCCTCAGAATGTAGTAGAAAACGGGTCAGATTGATTGGATTAGTTCTATATGTGCAGCTGCGTTAAGCAGCCCTTCACACATTACAGTCAAAATGCACTTTGATGGCAATCAAAAAGACGTTGCGAGGCTACTAGTTGCTGAATAAACAATAAGAAAACTATCGGTTTTCGTGAAAACCAGCTTTATGTACGCTGAGCATGGCAATCGATAATTGACAAACAGAAGATAGTGGTTGGCCGTCCTGGTCAGGACTTCCCTTGTCATCGCCGTGAATCCACGCAGCATTTTGAAAAGTGGTAGGGCTTGGATTTTAAATACTAACGAGTAGACGGATTTGGTTATGATTCGATTTGGTTCATCGCAATTTAATTCCAAACCGCATATGTACGCTACCAATCCGGAAAGCACCAGACGCGCGTTTCGCCCTATTGGGGCTCGACAGTGGTGCGCATTCTTCGGTCCCCTACTGGGGATCGAACCCATGACCGCTAGAGGCTAAAGCCAACTAGCCAGCAGCTTATGCCACGGAGCCATGGGGGACGGCAGCCGAGCATCACGGATTGAAACCTAACTGCAAAGAAATAATCAACAATACGAGAACCAAATGGTAGCAGGCGTACTTTTCGATGCGTTTTGTGACAAGCGCCCCAATTCACTCGTCTACTCACGCGGAAAGACTTGGATATTGTGTAGAGTTCGAACAAAAGGCAGCATTCGACCTGCAGCGAGGAGTGCAACGCGATGACACAGTATAATAGACATCCAAGTCGACTGCGTGGATCAGTAAGTAGTGGGGAAGTCTGAGAACGATGCTGAGATAGCTGACAAAATCGAGTTTTAAGTGATAGCAATTGCAAGCTTGATAATGAGAACAAAGGTGTCCTTTTCCAATATCTTCAGTTTTTCTGCACTCAAATGGAGTCTTTCTTTTCAAGTTAAAGGTCGCTTCTTATGGCTCTCGCCTATGGTGACACGTGCGACTGGATAAAATGCTGGAGTAATCTCGTTACATCTTGGTAAGTTTCCATTACAGGCGTTACAGAGGTACGGATGGTCGAGCGGGAAGTTCTAATTTCACCACCAAAAACGAAATACATCAGGCCCCCTTACTTCATCCATCTATGTTGTCATGGAAAGGATTATAATGTATTTTTCTCCGGTTGGCGTATTCGAAGTTCGCAGAGAGACAAATAGGTAGACGATTTAGTGCTCTAACCGTCTCTAGACAAAGCCGTAAAAGAGCCGGGGGCAGAACGCTTCTCGTTCCATTGAAGGAGCGTTACATGATTAGATTGAATGTAAATCAGTCCCAACGAGTAGCGAAGAAAACCGAAATATATACCTCGTGAGGTCAAACGCCCTCGTGAAAGTACCTCTGTCAACTCACCTTCCCTTGCCACTGCGCGATCTGCACCACCACTAGCGTCTACGACCGCGGCTGAGTCTCAAGTGCAATGTTCTCCACGGATTGAAGACTCAGACTCGGAACCTCCGAAATGCCGATTCACTGATCGGTGCGTGGATTTCTCAGAGCCTGTCTGTGAACCTCCGAACACTGAGGATCGATGAACCACTCAAAAGCGCAATGGGCCACGTAATCGAGTTCAGGCGCCCCCTGCTGATAAACAACAACCCAAACCGATAAGCGCCTCTATTCTTGATCCCACAGGTTCACCACCGATTTCGCGGAGGCGTCACAATCTCATGGTCTTCCACGCAGCAAAGTCAAAAGAGGAAAACCCTCAGATACGTTATGATCACGATGTTGAGTTTCTCCAGAAGCTCATAGACTCTTGGATGTGGGTGAAGACTGTGACGATTAAACAACTAATACGAATTGGCCAGCAAGCTAACCAGTCATAAGCATTACATTTGCAAATCACATGCCGCAGCTCATACTGTCTCGTCTATCAACGCTGGTAAGCATAAAGGTTCACATACACCAAGACTTGGAACCCGAAGACAGGGATCGTTTGAAGACTGCAGTCCTTGAGCTCAAACGCCGTACAGAAGAAGGTGAAACCAAATAAGACATAGTAAATTTTCGGGTGATCAAGAAGGTCGTACGAACTCGTGTCAACCGGTTGCTCAAGCTGCAGGCATGTCCAGCGGTACCTCCCAGGACCTCTGTGTAGCATTCGCTAACGTGTGCAGTCTAATGAATAAACGTGACGAGCTGTGCCGTTTCACTATCTTGGAGCGGCCTGACGTCTTAGGGCTTGCAGAGACTTGGTTGAAGTCCGACGTCAT